TAGGGGTGAGTCTTGATAATTGGTGTAAATACAGTTATACCACAAGGAAAGTAGACAATACATGAATCCACAGAGTAGGAAATATAAATGGCTGGTGAAATACCACTGATCAGAGACATGTAAATTAAAACCACAAAAAAAATACCACTTTCCAACCTATCATATTGATTTAAAAAATTTTTTTTAATACTGGCAGAGGAACCAGCTTGACGGAGGAACCCACTGGCCAAAGCTGGGATAATTTTAGCATCAAAAGAACCATAACTATAATTGATTGAAACATGCTGACTACATTAGAAAAATGAATCCATGTGATACTAAAAAAAAAAGAGGAATAAAATAAGCAATCAAATAAATAAGAATTTCTTTGAATGGGCCATTATACCAAGTTCTTAACTCTGGAAGGAAAAGGAATATTTTTTTTCTTTGCAGTAGGAATCATATTGCAGGATAACTAACAGCCCTAGTTAATGAGAAAAAAAGCTCTTCTTTCTATAAAAATGCCAGCTATAAATGTAGACAGAATTGGAAATCACAATTTGCAACCCCTAAGGAAATAATTAAGCCAAGAGTATCAACAGATGCTGAAACCATCAGGTGAATGGTTGATGGAGAGCTGGATATCCACCTAGTCCCAAAGTTATCACCCCACAGATTACTAGTTTGTTCCAAGATGACTGTCGCTACATAAACCCTTAGTATCTTGGTATCACCAATGATAGGATAACCAGAGCTTCATAATGTGACTCCTGGTGTGATGCAGTGTTTAGCCTGAATCTAATCAAGCCTTTAGATCTAGCTTCCAATAATAGAAAATATGGCGCTTACTGTTAAATTACACCACAAGGGACCAGTCAGAAAAATCCAGAAATTGGGACATTCTAGGAAACAACTATCCTGGTCTTTCTGAATCAATGTCATTGGAAAAATAAAAAGCTGGGGGTGGGAGGTGAGGAGGAGATGAGAAGGGATAAGAAAGGGTGTGTCTCTTCTAAATCTAAATACACTTCAGAGACCCAGCAACCAAATACAATCATGGCTCTTAACTGGATCCTTATATGAACAAACTTGCTGCAAAAGACATTTGGGGGACAAGAGGGGGGAACTTGGGTGTGTTGGTATTATTGTGGTTATGTAGAAAAGTGTTCCTATTTATATATACATATCAAAATTTAGGAATGAAATGTCATGATATCTGTATTTACTTTAAATTTCTTCAAAAATAGGTGAAACATGACAAAATACTAAAATAATTGTTTAATCAATGTGATAAGCATATGGTGTTTATTATACTACTCTACTTTTTTTTTTACTTTTTTTTAACGTTTATTTTATTTTTGAGACAGAGAGAGACAGAGCATGAACAGGGGAGGGGCAGAGAGAGAGGGAGACACAGAATCTGAAACAGGCTCCGGGCTCTGAGCTGTCAGCACAGAGCCCGCCGCGGGGCTCGAACTCACAGACCGTGAGATCATGACCTGAGCCGAAGTCGGACGCTTAACCGACCAAGCCACCCAGGCGCCCCTATACTACTCTACTTTTACGTATGTTTATAATATTCATAATAAGTATAAAAAGTATTTTTAATATCTAGCATTTGTGAGGGTTTGAGGAAACAGACCATTCTATACATATTGTTGGTAGTAGTTAAATTGTTATAACCTTCTTAGAGAACAATTTGGAATATATAAATATCATTTTAGAGGTGCCTGGGTGGCTCAGTCAGTTGAGCGTCCGACTTCAGTTCAGGTCATGGTTTTGCAGTTCGTGAATTTGAGCCCCGTGTCGGCTCTGTGCTAACAAAGAGGTCAGAGTGTGGAGCCTGCTTCAGATTCTGTCTGTCTGTCTCTCTCTCTCCCTCCCCTGCTCATGCTCTGCCTCTCTCTGTCTCTCAAAAATAAATAAATGTTAAAAAAATAAATATTATTTTAAAATATACATACCCTTTAACATAGTAATCTTATCATTAAGAATCCATTCATGGGACACTTGGGTGGCTTAGCTGGTTAAGCGTCTGACTCTTCGTTTCAGCTCTGGTCATGATCTCTCAGTTTTGTGAGTTCAAGCCCCAAGTCGGACTCTGCACTGGCAGCACGGAGCCTTTGTGGGATTCTGTCTCTCTCCCTCTCTCTGTCCCCCATCCCCACTCGCTCTGTCTCTCTCAAAATAAATAAATAAGCTTGCAAAAAATATAATCCAGGGGTGCGTGGGTGGCTCAGTCAACCAGTTAAGTAATCCAACTTTGGCTCAGGTCATGATCTCAAGGTTGGTGAGTTCGAGCCCCACAGCGGGCTCTCTGCTTATCAGCACACAGCCTGCTTTGGACCTTCTGTCCGCCCCCCTCCTCAAAAATAAATAAACATTTTTTTAAAAACTTAAAAAAAAGAATCCATTCAATAACTAGTGACAGAAGAATAGAGGATGTATTATAAAGATATTTATTATAGCATATTGATAATATAAACAAATATGAGACAATAGGAAATGGTTAAAAAGGACAAAGTAGGTGCACATTTACTGTTCTGGTTTGCTAGAGCTTCCTGACAAAGTACCACGGACTGGGTGGGTGGCTCAAACAACAGAAATGTATTTTGTCACAGTTCTGGAGGCCACAAGACTGAGACACAGTATGTGCACGGCTGGTTTCTTCTGAGGTCTCTCTCCTTGGCTTATAGGTGGCCGTCTTCTCCTAGTGCCTTCACATGGCCTTCCCTGTGTACCCATCTGTGTCCAAATGTCCTCTTCTTACAAGAACACCTGTCATCTTGGAGTAGAGGCCACACTAATAACTTCATTTAAACTTAATTATCTTGGGGAGCCTGGGTGGCTCAGTCGGTTGAGTGTCCAACTCTTGATTTCGGCTTAGGCCATGATCTCATGGTTCTGTGAATTTGAGCCCCATGTCAGCATGCTGACCCACACTGTCAGCACAGAGCCTGCTTGGGATTCTCTCTCTCTCCCTCTCTCTCTGTTCCTCCCCAGTTCGTGCACACATTCTCTCTCTCTCTCTCTCTCTCTTAAAATAAATCAATAAATAAAAACAAAAAAATTAATTTAATTCTCTCTGTAAAGACCCTGTCTCCAGGTACAGTCACATTCTGAGGTACTGGGAGTTGGGGCTCCAACATATGAAACTTTAGGGGCACACATCATAACATTTACTGACATGGAAAGATGCGCATGACTTTTAGGCTAAAAAAAATTAAGCAGAACAACATGTACGGTATCCCTTTTTCTCAAAATTTAAAAATAACAAAAGCAAACCTCTGGTACATATTTATACATAGCTTGGGATATATTGAAAACATACCTATCTGAAAGGATTGATATCCACCTGTTACAAAGGCTCCCTGGGGAATAAAATGGAGTTGGGAATGAAAGGGAAGGACATATTTCCACTCTTTCTTTATAAGCATAGGTTACTTTTGTAATTAGAAAATTTTAGCTTAAAAAAAAAAAAAAAAAGACCCTTACAATGAGCTCCGGACAAGACCTGGAGGCATCAGAGACTCTCCAGTCCCAAGTGCCATGAGGCCAGGAAAGTAGACTTAGCCGCGCCAAGGACCAGATGTGCACAATCTGTCCTACCTCCGCTAATACATTGGCACCATCTCAAGAATTGGGGAAGGGTGACCAAGATTGTCTTTGTCTGCCAGCTCAGAAGAATGAGGGATTCAGGGTCAAAAATTCAGTTTTAGAAAATAAAGTGATATTTCTTGCATGTCTGAACTTTTAGACTGAGATCCATATGGCTACACATACTGTACTCATTTAATTCTCTCACAATCTTACTATCTTCATTTTACAAATGAAGACAGGGCTTTTTAAGGTTAATTTTCCTGAGTATGTAGCAAAACTGGAACTCAAATTTGGGCCTCCCTTGCACTGAAGCCCACACTACCTACTACTCTATGCTGCATGGAATAGGTTTTGCCTCTTCTCTCCACCACCTGTACCCAATCCCGACTACCAAACCTTGCTAATTCAGGCGGCATCCTCTCTTCTAGGAAGCCACTTTCCAACATTTCCCCTAACTTTAGGTGGCCTCCTAGGCCTCCCTAAATCCCTATCTGTATTTCCATGATCTCTGTGTATGTTTGTCCTCCTCCACAAGACTGTGAAGGGCAAGAGTTAAATATCTCTAGTGCCTGACACACAGTAGGTGCTTTAGTTCTACGACAGAAGAACATCACTTACATTTTATTGTTTCCTCACTAAACTCTGAATTTCATAAGGTTAAAGAATACATCCGGTTTTATGAACCATTAAGCCACTGGTACCTAACAGCACTTGGTTTTCAGTAAATATTTTTGAAAGGATGAATGGATAATTTTATAAGTAATCGCCTCTATTTCCTGGGACTCTGAGTCACATTCCGAGAAAAAGCAGCTTCCTGACGTCCTTTTCCTTGTAATGGTTTAGTGTATTAAATTATTTCTTGGATTTATCCTTCCATTGCAAACTGCTAGCGATTCTCACTTAACTGACAGAATGTCATGAATCAAGGGAGGTAGAGGTGAAGTGAACAGGTTAGCCTCCAATTTACAAGCTTGCTTTCCACTGGTTTAATTGTAAAGTTCCTCGGTGTGACCCTCTCACGACAAAATCTCCACGAGTGGATTGATCACGTAGAACTCTGACTAATTAAAGATGTAGGATAACAGAAGAGTTAAAATTGTATTTGCTAGGCAAGGTTGTGATCTTTTAAAAAATATGTTATAGTCTTTCATTGGTGAAACAAGGAAAATATGGTCCAAATTACCTTCCAAGCGGTTTGCCTAGATTGACAGTCCCACGGACAAAGGAGGGGACAAAACACTCCTTCCGACCGGCATTTGAGGCCAGAGCCGGCGCCCCTTGTGGGCGGGACCACGCGAGCCTCCGGGGACCCAAAGGAGGAGGGGGCGGGGTCGAAGGCGGGTCCAGGCCTCCGGGGGCGGGGCCGCAGCGGGCGAGGGGCAGGCTGGGAAGCGGCGCCATATTGGCGTCGGCCGCGCTGTATTGTCATAAATAGAGCCGGTTTTGTGGTGTTTTCACTACTCGGTTGGATGCCTCGGCCGTAGTAAGTGAGAAAGTGAGCAAGCGAGCTACAAGCAACCGGAGGAAAGTGGACAGGAGGAGAAGGAAAGAGCAAGAACTTGACTCCAGAGCGAAAGATACTCGGCGGTGAGGGAGACGCAGGAAGCGATGAAAGAGATGTCTGCGTAAGTGATGGGGGGCGGCGGTTGGGGGCGAAGCGGAGAGGG